TTCTAAACGTTATGGGGATACATCCGATGATTAAAATAACAATTGATTTATTGAAACATTTTATATTTTTCACATTAACAACATGCCATCACAATGCCCGTGACAATCGACCGACGGACCGTCATAGCGCGACAAGTGACAACTTCAGAATTGACATGAGGCATTTTCTTGTGACACCACATCTACGAACTGAATATACTTTGTCCACGACCACTAATAATAAATCAATATTCTACCTCCTAACTAAAAGCATATGGTACCCATATAACACTAGAATGAATTATAATAATTCACGCTTTTTTAATTTTGGTACATTCCGGTAGATAACTAAAGATGGGTGATACTTTTCATAACGATATTTTTTAGATCAAAAATCTGATGTGTCCAACACATGACTTTCCTATCTAGTTATTATAGGATTTTTCCGGTTATTTTGTACAACCTATTGCATCACTTCTATAAATGTTTAGAGGATAAACTAAATATATACATTTTCCACATACATCTAACTCGACACATTTTTCTATAATATATATTCCATAAAATATAAAAACGGCCTCCCATAAAGTACCCCCCCCCCCCCCAGATGTTCCGGCTTTGTCCAAAATCTAATCATTTTACCTCAGGCCGAAATAAAACGTCAAGTTTAAAATTTATTGTTTTTTCCTTTATCCGTTTTTGAGTTTTCGTCAAAATTCGAAATTTACCCATTTTCTCAAATATCTCGAATACGGTCCATTTTAGGAAAATTTTATATAAAACAAAAATTATAGATAATAATATTGTAAGTAACTTTTATTTGAAGAATGTTCTTCTCCAAACGCAAATAGCGAATATATTCCATAAAATATAAAAATTATCATCAATAAATTACCCCCAGATGTTCCGACTCTGCCCAAAATCTAATCAGTTCATTGGACGCCGGAATAAAGCTTAAGTTTAAAATTTGGTGTTTTTCTTTGTATCGGTTCATGAGTTATGGTGGATACAGAGACACACACTGACACACACACACACACACTGACACACACACACTGACACACACACACACACACACACACACACACACACACACACACACACACGCACGCACCCACACACACACTGACACACACACACACACACTGACACACACACACACACTCTGACACACACACACACACACACACACACACACACACACACACACACACACCCACACACACACCCACGCACGCACGCACCCACACACACACAAACACACACAGACATCATCCCGAAAATAGTCAAAACAGGTTCAGGAGACCCAAAAACGTAAAAATCCGTCGAAAACTGGAGGTCGAAAAAAATCATGATTCCTATACTTTCCTTATCTGTATACAGATAGGAAAGTAAAAAATCAAATCGAAAAAACAACAGTTAGGTACCTATTTTTAATAAAAACATTCCATTCAACACTTAACTTATATTTAATAAAGAAACCATTATGGTCGTGGACAAAGTATAATATTAGACTCGCAATTTATGGCCATTATTCACTCGGGTGATGGCTACCATAAATTGCTCGTTTAATAATATACTATTACGACCGCGTAAATTATTTATAAACTCGGCCATAATGCCACTCTCTTTAAGTTGAGTTTGCCACTGACCAGACTCAAATGAAATGGAACAGATGCTCCAGTCTTCAAGCAAATACTTTTTTTACTAATACCACCTGGAACAAATCCTCACAAACTAGAGTCAACCGAGTTTGAGCAAAAGTTTAAATTTATTTATTAATACGATTTGGAGCAAATACTCCAAATGTTTTGAGTCTGAGCATATGCTTCATTTTATTAATATCACTCAATATGTAGTTAAGAAATAAAAAACTAAAAATTGGTACCACAACGCTGGTTAAAATAAGAATAAAAAACAAAAACTCTTTATAGAAATATAAAAAGAAAAATTGCAACCACAGTGCTAAAAGAACAACTACAATAAAAATTGAAACCACAACGACGTTAGTAGTTACAATAGAACTAAAAATTACAACCAAAACGCTAGTTGCAATAAAATTAAAAACCGCTTTACAAGAAAATGTAAAAGAAATAAAAAATCATGATTCCTATACTTTCCTTATCTGTATACAGATAGGAAAGTAAAAACAGCTAATTACAAAATTAAATTTCAAACAGAAAACAATGCAGTGGAAATAAAAACACAAAATTGGAGAAACTCTGAAATAAAACAAAAACAAATCAAACAAAAGCAAGTACACTATTGATATAAACAGTTAAAATACAAATATTTCAGCGAAAACCACACTCTACCGAACGATATTATATTGTACTGTAATAAACTCAGAGAGAGCTCCTGGTTATAAGAGATACAGAATGAATGACTGCGAGAGTCGATTTATAAGGTAAACATCATTATAAAACCGCTACACATAATGACTCTCCATAGCAAATTGTAACAAAATTCTATTAAATTTTTGTTGAATTCTATTAAGATCTATTCGTGCTCTAACTGCAAAATTTGATAATAAATTCCCGTATAGTTTGAATAAACGGATGTTTCTTACTGGTTCTACATGCTGTTCGCTATGAGGCCTATTTTTTTTTTTGGAATTTGGAAAAGTATTATATTCTAAATATTTTCTATAAGTTTTAAGGCAAGACGCCACTTAATTTTTTGTGAAAAATGTATTTAAATTAAGAGGAGGGGGTGATTTAATTATTATTTTTCTGAATTTTAAACTTGCAATTTAAAAGGATACTATTTTTCTATTATTTTCTGTTTCATGGCGTGAAACACCTTAGTTTTTCCTAAAAAAAAAAAAAATAATTAAATTTAGTTGAGAGGGACGGTTTTAGCTATGACGTCGAAATTTTTCCGAAAATTTGAGCTTGGAGTTTGAAAGCATATTTTATTCTTATTGTTGTCTATAAGTTTTATGGCGTGACCCAACCTAGTTTTTTCTGAAAAAAATAATTAAATTTAGAGGAGGGGGATGGTTTTAGCTATGGCGCCGATATACATATTTCTGAAATTTTGAGCTTGGAATTTGAAAGCATATTTGATTCTTATTATTTTCTGTGAGTTTTATGGTGTGAACCGACCTAGTTTTTGCTGAAAAAAATAATTAAATTTAGTGGCGGGTGATGGTGTTAGCTACGACGCCGATATTTTTTTGAAATTTTGAGCTTATATAGTATTAGGAAGTATATTTTATTCTTATTACTTTCTGTGAGTTTTATGGCGTGACGCAACTTAGTTTTTGTGAAAAAAAAAATATTTAAATTTACTGGAAGGGAATAATGTCACGCGCCTATTTGTCGTGATTGAGTCACTTTAAATAATGACTCTATGTGCTACCTGACTTGGAGAAATAAAAGATTACGAGAACAATTAACAATTTATTTATCAGTAATAGTAATCAATACACAATATACAATAAGGGCCTTACCATGGGCTATACATCTAAATGGCGACGAGGGCACGTCACGTCACTTCTTCGCTGGGATGAGAGACAATGATGAGACTCAAACTAAGAGTCTGTGGTAAGACTCCGACCAAGAGTCTCGGATGAGACTCCGACCAAGAGTGTCATTATTGTTGATCTAGCCGATTTTTATATTAATCGACTAGGGTCAGTACGTGTCTAGTTTAATGTTATATTTACTTTTATTAAAGACGTACTTATGAATTGCTTCTAATGTTTATCAAAATATTATATAAAATATTATGCTAAATTATTTAACTTAACGAATGTATATTAAAATAGAAAATGTATATTTTAAATATAGGGTGATATTTGTTTAGCGTGACAATAACTAGCTATGCCGCTAACATTTTTTTTAAGTTTCATGTCGTGAACTTTTGAATCTTTTCGTAAAAAAATTAGAGGTAAATTATTTGCTACGACCTATAAGTTTTATAAAGATAAAATAGAATAATCGTTTATTTTAATATTTGACATACATTTTTGGATTAAAAAACATTTTAATTGGTGAAATATGTTGCAAAAAATACCATTTGATGTAGGTACCGTAGTTTGGAGCAGAATTTAGTTGTAATCAAAGATATATATTATTAGAGAATACAAATAAGAATTAGAAGTTTACCGTTTCAGACACCACAAATATTTAATAATTGTAGCGCCGTTAAACGCAATATAGATGGATAAAATGGTCCAACGAGCCCGCGCTAACGTTTTTGTATCGTGTGAACTTGTCGTTATGGTAGGAATGAATGTTGCCCGAGAGCGCTAGTGCTTGTACAAGAGCCATAGTAGTTAACAAAAAACACAATTATTGTTCCCTAAATAAAATATTCTACAATACAAATTTAATTTCAACACAACAAAACAATTAAAAACAACGACAACAGGTTAGGTTTTATAAAACGTCAATTTTAGATGTAAACAAATCACAAAACTAATGACAATTCTATGGCCGGCGCTTAAAAGGTCATAAGTCGTTTTTTACGTAAATTGAGTTTTTAGTCAAGATAAGAATAGAAGAGTGTATATTTTAGGCAGTTAAAAGTATCTAAGTCTATATCCGTTGTAAAGTAATAAAAATAAGGTACACAAAAACATATATAATAATACAAGGGTAACTGCGAAAGAAAAAACGTCATAAATAAACATAAACAGTCAAATTTTATAACATAAAACAGTTAAAATAAAATATTTCTACATATTTTTTAATTTTTACAGGACCAAATGTCCTAAAAAGATCGTTGATTTGGATTCTAAAAATCCTTATTCATATGTCCCAAAATTTTCCAGCGCCATTCTCCAAAAATGTGTAATATCGAATAATTGCGTCACAGCCGATTTGGATTTATTCAGGTAGTGGTCGGATTATTCAAATTTAATTGATTTTTAATTAATAAATTATAAGTAAATAATGAGTTTAAAATGTACTGTTAAATTAACATAATTTATCTTATAAGACAGTAATTAGAGGATTATCTCACTGTGGCGTGTAGCTGATTGATGGCCTCCCTCTCTACCTCACTGCAATCACCAGCCATCTGCCTTCCCGCCATACTCAACACTCGACACAAAACACAAACTATTATCTTATTCAGTCATTTGTTCTGTGGTCATTTGTGGCCTCGTGGGATGGTTTACGAACCGCAAAACAACGATGGCCTCAACAAAAAATCCAGTGCTTTTATATGCCTACAAATTGACTAAAATACTTTCTTTGGAAGACGAGGCTTGGCATGTGAGTGTTTACGTGTTTGGTTATGAAATATCTTACGGAAATAGTGGTATCAATATAGAAAAAATAATGGAAAATGAACCTTTCGAAACGAGATTCATGGGTCATACAGATCGAACCGGTACAGAATTGTATCATTTTCTGGAGGAGATAAATACCGAATGGACCGCCGAAACATACGATGTATTAAGAAACAATTGTCAGCATTTTGCTGAAAAGGTATTTGCAATTACAAATAACTTATTTTAGAATAGATAAATTGAAAATTTTATTACAAACCTTATGCCGGTTCGGCCGTACAGTTTTTCTACCAAGCATTTTTTTTTAACAATGAAAAAAGAATAATTTTGTTTACATTATCAATCTAGTAAATTCCTTTGACTTTATTGTAAATTTTAGTGTCGAAATGTTCGTAAAATTATCGTTTATTTGTTTCCTTAACTCACCTGTGATTCCCCGAGTGTAGTTTTCTCGGAATCAACAGATAAAGTTTAATCCATTCTGCGTAGACGGAATAGCGTTGTCAAAGTTTCCATGTTATTTTCTTGAAATCTTTATGAGTTCGTATATATATCCATTGTATTCAGATTAGATCTAAATACAATGGTATATCGTAATCTTTTTTATTATTGTGAAGTGAGATGCCTTCTAGATAAGCGGTTTTAGCTTGAAATGAGTTCCGTGATAATAGGCCAGTCATTAAAGATAATCAATTGAAATTAATTACAAAAGTTTTCGAACTTTATTGGAATATTTATTATATTGAGATAATTGTAAATTTAATTTTTGAACTTTTTCTGAGGTCCGGAATAATTCCAAATAATTAAAATTTATTATAACTTTCTTAAAAAAATGACAAAAGTGCTGCAAACTTAAAGCAATATATACTGTATTATTTTCAACATTATATCAGATTTGCAAATTTTTTGAAAGTCCCGGAACATGATTTTTTTTTTTGTAAAATAGTGTTTTTGTTTATATCATAGACAAAAAATTGCAAAAGTACTGCAAACCGATGACATAACTCTTACAAGTTTTTGGAACAGCTATTCCAATTTGCAAGCTTTTATTTTGCACGGGAATATTTTTTTTTGTAAAAATATCAAAATATTTTTTTAATTTTCCTCTAATTTTGTCAAAAACAAGAATTCGCACCATGGCGATTTAATTCATTTTTATCTTTAAAAATCTTTATATATAAAAACTAAAAAAAAAATGTACAATATGAAGATACATGCGGGGTATTAGAAGTGCAGATATACAAAGGGTATAACTGAAGATGGAGCATAAATATAAATTAATTCCGAGAATAAAATAATATTTATTATATTGATTGCATACATGACCTTGAAAATGGGATTTCTTACAGCTAACAAGAAGCCAAAATATATAGATACATTTTTAAATAGGTTCTGCACGGTCAGAGATATCTTCCTAAGGTGCACTGATGCAAAATTTCATCTGGAAAACTGATAGTTACACCAGGCCAATGTAGATGGACCAAATATTTTTATGTCTCAACGAAATATGTATTTTAAATATTTTTATAAATGACGCATCATGCAATCCGAGTTTAATAAAATATTTCTTAACGTAACTTTAGTAAGAAATGCATATCAAGTATATATTTAATGCAGATATCGTGACGAATGGTTCAGATTTACAAAATGAAATAACATCCCGAGTCACATCCGCATTTTAAGGGCCAGGGCTCGCGAACGTTTGTTGCAGTTGCATCAACGCAACGGCCAAAGGCGTTGAAATACGTTAAATCAAGTGAGAAAGGGTACATTCTCGACGCCATGTCTCAGCGGTACATTAAATTACACACAAAAGAGAGAGGTAGAAAAACGTAGTAGCTATGGGCGATAAACAATTCGACACAGAATTATTCTAAAAGAAAGAAACATTGCTAAATGATCTTGTTTTATTTAAGCATTAAATTCAGTTCATCAATGAGCATATAATACGACCATAATTAAAAAAAAATATTCATCATTATTTCTTGAGTCAAAAAACTAATATGTAAACACCTTTTAAAGTAAAGTAAACGGGAACTTAAGTAAGGATATACCCAGTATTTCCCCTTCTTCCGCACAAACAAAACATAGGTACAAATATCACTTCTTTTTTCGAACTTACATCCATCTGTTCTGTTCTTAAGACGAATTTACTCTGCCTTGTTTCGGGACAGAAGACAAGAAGCGCTGCGTGTCAATTAAAAATTGCATTTGCGTCAACGTGACGTTAACGCGACTGCTAAAAACGTTCATGAGCATCGACCCTAACAGGTATTTTCGAGCTTAAACTAAGAAAATACCTTGTATTATTATATTATTGTTATATAGTTGTTATATATTAACGTTTATGTTAACGTACAGAAATTTTAGTAAGAAACTTTTCTTAATTTGCAATTATCGATTATCAGAAATATATTGGTAAAAAAATTAGTATTTAGTCAAATATCAGAGCTAGACAGAACTATGTACAGATATTTGTTTTTGATATTAAAAAAAAAACTCAGATCAAAACATAAATAGGTAAATCCAATTATTAACACTGTCACAAAATTATTATATTAAACATGAAGGACATTTGCAAAATGTATATTTTGTAATTTTAAATTCAAATTAAGGTGAAAAATAAGAAAACATTTATTAATGGGATTACTTGTCAATAAATTTTAAACATTCATTCGTTTTTCTATGATAATTGCTTCAGCAAACATCTAAAAAAATTGGTTGGTATTTATCATATTAATTACTGTGATTGCATACGGTTTTTTATTAGATTTTTATCGTTGTAAAAATTATTGAAATTATGGACATTTTTCTGTAAATAATAATGAGAAAAAGCTAAAAGCTTCTTACAGGTATTAGTTTTATTTTTTAATTTATCAATTTTAGGTTTCAGTTAGGCCGAGTAAATAAAAAAACACTATTAAATGACCCACAAGAATGTTATGTTTGATAAGAAAGTTCTACTAGTAATTTTTTAAAATAATCATTGTATTGAGTATATACAGAATATTAAATGATAAAACAAGGAAATGGAAAACGGTATTTTGTCACCAAAGAAATACATCATTTGAAACTTTGAGACAATTGGTTCTACTTCAAACAAAATTAAAATATTTTTGATTTTCACAAAATTGAAAGGAAATAATACACAAATTAAGGTATTATGAAACAGCTGTTTTAATTAAATAAATTTACAAAAACAAAACATGATTTAAATTATGAGACCTTTACTTTCTGCAACTGGACGGTCCAGGATTGTCAAAAACATTAGTTATCTCAATTATTAATTTCTGCTAAATTCATTGATTCTTAAAATTGTATATGTGGGAAGTCTGGATCTTGGTATTCGTTATCGGATAATGCGTCGTCATTCGGGCATTCGAGTAAGTTTCTAACGGTGCTCCGAATTCATTACTTTGGGAACAAATCTTATCCATTCGAGGCTACACATAACAAACAACTCATCTATAAAAATTTTCATAAACAAAAATTTTGTCGCGTGATCGAAGTGTCAATTGTTAGAATCTTATTATTAAAAAATCTGATGTGTCCAACACATGACTTTCCTATCTAGTTTTTATAGGCTTTTTCAGGTTATTTTGTACAACCTATTGCAGCATCTCTATAAATGTTTAGAGGATAAACTAAATATATACATTGTCCACATACATCTACCTCGAAACATTTTTCTATAGATATTCATTGAAAACGAAAATACTGAAAAATTTAAATTTAGCACTTTTTCATTACGGTTCATTTTAGAAAAATCATGTATAAACAAAAATTATAGAGATCGATATCGCAAACAACTTTTAGTTCAACAATTTTCATAAAAATCAGAATTTTGCACATTTTGTCAAATTTCTCGGATACGGACCATTTCAGGAAATTTTAACATAAAACAAAAACTATAGATAATAATATTAGAAGTAACTTTTATTTGAACAATTTTCTTCTCTAAACATAAATAACAGATATATTCCATAAAATATAAAAACGGCCTCCCATAAAGTACCCCCCTAGATGTTCCGACTTTGTCCAACATCTAATTATTTCACTTCAGGCCGAAATAAACCTTAAGTTTAAAATTTAATGTTTCTTTCTTTATCCGTTTTTGAGTTTTCTTCAAAATTCTAAATTTACACATTTTCTCAAATATCTCAAATACGGTCCATTTTAGAGAAATTATGTATATAATAAAAATTTAGAGAATTATATTACAAACAACTTTTATTTAAACAATTTTTAAAAAAAAATATTTTTTTTACATTTTGTCAAATTTCTCGAATACGGACCATTTTAGGAAAATTTTGTATAGTACAAAAATTATAGGTAATAATATTAGAAGTAACTTTTATTTGAACAATTTTCTTCTCTAAACATAAATAACAGATATATTCCATAAAATATAAAAACGGCCTCCCATAAAGTACCCCCCTAATGTTCCGCTTTGTCCAAAATGTAATTATTTCACTTCAGGCCGAAATAAACCTTAAGTTTAAAATTTAATGTTTTTTTCTTTATCCGTTTTTGAGTTTTCTTCAAAATTCGAAATTTACACATTTTCTCAAATATTTTAGGAAAATTTTGTATAAAACAAAAATTATGGATAATTATATAAGAAGTAACTTTTATTTAAAGAATTTTCTTCTCCAAACGTAAATAACAGATATATTTCATAAAATATAAAAATGATCACCTATAAAGTACCCCCCCAGATGTTCCGACTCTGCCCAAAATCTAATCAGTTTATTAGACGCTAGAATAAAGCTTAAGTTTAAAATTTGGTGTTTTTCTGTGTATCGGTTCATGAGTTGTGCGACCTACACACACACACGCACGCACGCACGCACCCACACACGCACGCACCCACACACGCACCCACACACGCACGCACCCACACACGCACGCACCCACACACGCACGCACCCACACACGCACGCACCCACACACGCACGCACCCACACACGCACGCACCCACGCACGTACCCACACACGCACCCACACACGCACCCACACACGCACCCACACACGCACCCACACACGCACGCACCCACACACGCACGCACCCACACACGCACGCACCCACACACGCACGCACCCACACACGCACCCACCCACGCACGCACGCACACACACACGCGCACACGCGCACACGCGCACGCGCGCACGCGCACACACGCACACACGCACACACGC